TTTTCTTTTTACTGTTGTGTCACCTTATGTCTATAATGCATTTTAAAAATATCTCCCAAATTATAAGACAGTCCTTACATCACTAAAACTAACCCATAAATGAAATGCTGAAAATGAAGTTATGCATCAATTATAAACATTTAATTTACACTGACAAGAGAAAGATAATCCCTTACTTCATGATAAGTACTCGATAACACTTGTACTTAATCATGAAGAAAGGGATTATCATTCTCTTACATATTTGAAGAAATCTGTTCATTGAGGCATAACTGAGTGGAATTTACCTGATCATCACATCTTTCAATTAACATGAACAATAGATTGTATATTCAGTCAGTTTAGCAGTAAACTAGACATGTGCATATTACATTAAGTACAACAATTGGTGCATCAAATGTTGCAGGTTACTGCCATAATAAGTAGAAAATGCACATTTGCCATGTTTTGCTTTTAATCCGTCTAATAATAATAATAATAATCCTGTATCTTGGCATTGCACTGTTTATGGCGTCTTTACACTAAATCCATTGGATGTTGGATGTGAACTGATTGATTGATTGATTGATTTTTGGTGTTTTAACGCCACTTTTAAGCACCGCTTTTGGGCTATTTCGTGGCGGCCAGTTTTTATTGGTGGAGGAAGCCGGAGCGCCCGGAGAAAACCACCGACCTTCGATAGGAAAACTGACAATCCTAGTCAATTAAGATTGGAGTCGAGTGCACCCGCACGAGCGGGGTTCGAACTCACAACCTCAGTGTTGACTGGCTAGTGATTACAGTAGTAACTACTTAGACCACTCGGCCACCGAGGCCCCTGAACTGATTGAAAATTTAGTCTTAGATGCATTGTTTTTTTTTATTAGTTGTTATTGGCTTTGAACCAGCTGTCAGTAACTGCAAGTACTCTCAGATCTGTACTTAATGTTTTTTTGTTGTTGGGATGTATAAGTACCCGTCCACGTCAACAATGTGTTTTTGTTAGATGTTTTACTATTTGTATCCATCTGATGAGTTAAGCCTTTTTCAACTGATTTTTATTGTTTGTTCTTATGTTTTACTGTTACACCACTGTCCCAGGTTAGGAGAGGGTTGGCTCCTTCGAACTAGTTTAACCCCGCCACATTCTGTATGTGCCTGTCTCAAGTCCGGAGCCTGTAATTCAGTGGTTATCGTTTGTTGCTGTGTTACATATTTGTTTTTTTCGTTCATTATTTTGTATATATAAATAAGGCCATTAGTTTACTTGTTTGAATTGTTTTACATTTGTCAATTCGGGGCCTTTTATAGCTGACTATGCAGTATGGGCTTTGCTCATTGTTTGAGGCGTAACAGTTGTTAGTTAATAACTAATAGTTGTTAATTTCTGTGTCATTTGGACTCTTGTGGAGAGTTGTCTCATTGGCAATCATACCACATCTTCTTTTTTATATAAACTATTATATCCCTTTATCGAGGGATAATTACCCATATTTAAAAGGGTTATTCCTCTATAAGGTATAAACACCATATAGAGGGTTAGTTCCCAACCTTTCCACCAGAGACCAAATGACATAGAAGTTAACAATTATAGGTTGCTGTAAGGCCTTTAACAATGAGCAAAACCCATACCGCATAGTCAGATATGAAAGGCCTCGAAATGACAAATGCAAATCAATTCAAATGAGAAAACAGCCTGATTGAAGTACAAAACCATGAAAGAAAAAACAAAATGATATACAGCAAAAACCAACTGCTACTGAATTATAGGCTCCTGACATAGGACAGGCACAAACAGAATGTGGCAGAGTTAAGCTAGTTTGAAGGTGCCAACCCTCCTCCTAACCTGGGACAGTGTTATACAGTACAACATAGGAACAAGATGTAAAAATCAGTTGAAAAGGGCTCAATTCATCAGTTTACAAAAAAAAAATATCTGTTTATGATAAAAATTCAAATTTAACCCATTTGATCATTTATAGAACTATTCTTATTTCTATTTATTTCTATGTCGTGTTATTTCCAATCGATTTACACAAAATAGCATTCATACCGGTCTACTAGTCCTATAATATAAGACTTCGTATAGGTTCATATCGTTTGCATTCAACGTTTTTTATCGGATATTTTTTTACTATCCATGCTGAACCACGAACATTAATAGTAATCAAAAATAACCGATAAAAAACCGCTGAATGCAAACGATATGAAGTTAGAACCTACGAAGTCTCATATTAGGTAAACGGACAGAAAGACACAGGACAAAAAGTCACAGGACATAAAGTCAAAAATTTGATAGGACAAAAAGTCACAAGACAAAAAGTCACAAATAATTTTTGACAATTGTTTGAATATATAAGAGAAAGATCTTGAAGTATTTTCTTTTTATTACATATATTCATTTTTAGTTTAGGAAATTGTTCATAAGACTTGATAAATGAAAATTTATAAAATTTGAATCATGCAAAGGATATATTTTTGGCACAATGAAGCCATTTAAGTACCAAGCCACTTTGACATATTGTTTTCACAACAATTATTTGATCATTATTGATATTTATTGAATATATCTTAATTACAAAGTTGCTTCATATATAATAGTTCAAGAAAAATCAAAAATTTTATTTTCTAAATAAGTGTTTTCTTGTTTAAAGAAAAATAATCTCAAAACTGAATTGTGACTTTTTGTCCTGTGACTTTTTGTCCGTGACTTTTTGTCCTGTGACTTTCTGTCCTGCATTCTCATATTATAGGTCTAACCGGTCTACTCGATCCGAAACGTTCAGTCAATCAATTGGTAAATACAAGTCATATACAAACCAGACTAAATATCATAGTATAACAAATCTAAATAAGATTACTGAGTTTTGAAATATGACCGTAAAATCTTCTTTTCTGATTGTCATTTTATAATGGATTAACTCTCCTTTTCGATAGTTACTAAAATATGAGACATATATATGTGTCTATATGTCTCTGCTAAAATAAACGTTGATTCTGTGTGTAAGTAACACCAATGAACTATTACTAGACCATTATTATGTCATTAATATAGAAAGAATAACACTGACCTTCCAAATAAATTCCATCATGGTAGGAGTTGAAAAATTAGAACAATAGAAAAAAAAACCGCCAAAACATAGTAACCAATTAAAACGGAGATTGTAATGGCAGTGTGGTCTAATGAACCGATGAACCATTAAACCTACGATCAGAGGTGTTTTGTCGCAAAATATTAAATGCTGCCGGATTCGCAGGTTGTTGTGCAAATTCTGTACTTTTATTTCAATGAACTCTCTGTCTGATAAACGTCGCCAGTAAACCGACATTTGGTTCTGCAATTATTTATTTCCCTCGAAAATGATAATGGATTTTTTTCCACATTATCAAAGTAAATCAAAATTTAAATAATTTGAATTCAATTTCTTCAACTTGCCAGGTCAATATTATTAAAGAAACATTCACAGCTCACGCAGGAGTATCAAAACACCCACAATGTGTGTGCATTTCTCATTTAAATGGTAATCTCACTAATCTGTAACCATAAACTTTAACATGATGCAATTCAGGCTAAGGACAGGATGTCCTGATTGATGCACAAAAACTATTGTAACAGGGCAACTAAATGATTTCTGGTTCTTGCGTGTTTAAATTAAAATATTTTGATTATTACCTTTGCTTGCCGGTTTAATCTGTTTCAGAAAAGATACTAAATATAACTACACCCTCATAAGAGTAAGGGTTTATACATGTAAATAATTGTTATCCGACCAATGCTCCGATTTTGTGTACCTTTAGTAGTTCAATCTTTGCTTAAAAGAGGGGCGAAAGATACCAGAGGGACATTCAAACTCATAAATCGAAAATAAACTGACAACGCCATGGCTAAAAAAAAAAAAAAGACAAACAAACAGTAGTACACAAAACACAACATAGAAAACTGAAGACTAAGCAACACGAACCCGACCAAAAACTGGGGATGATCTCAGGTGCTCAAGGGCGGATCCAGCCATTTCTGAAAGGGGGTCCCAACCTAGGATAAGGGGGGGGGGGGGTCCAACTATATGTCCCCATTCAAATGCATTGATCGTCCAAAAAAGGGGGTTCCAACACCCGGAACCCTCCCCCTGGATCCGCCACAGGGTGCTCCGGAAGGGAAGGCAGATCCTGCTTCACATGTGGCACCCGTTGTGTTGCTCATGTTACTACAAACCCGGTAAATAGTCTAATAAAGGGAACGGGATTGTAGTTCCGACAGTAGGAACATATCCGCTATCATCTGTGAAACGGTTATTCCATAATGGTCAACTAACTCGTGATGTCGTCCGTAAAATTTATGAAGGGATGATTTCAACTTCACCATTTGGAACTCTTGGTTTAATAGCTTCATTGTGAGCAGCAACCCTCCATCAAGGAAATCATGATAGGAAATACAAGCCCGGGAATTTCGTATCAATTTGGAGATATATACTCCGTATTCAGGCGCTGCGGGAATGTTTCTACATAGAAATGGAAAGTTCACAATTGGGAAACTGAAATCATCTCTTTTTGTAGTAAAGTTTTGTTTTCAACCGACCCTCATTGTCAATTTCTAGATGTCAGTCAATTTGGTACAGTTGGTCCCCATGGGAATGCCGATAGTTTGTAGAAAACACGTCCTCCAAACGTAACAAATATGTTGTCAATCAAGAAATCAAGCATCTTGATAATGTCAGTATCAGAGAATTGTTTGTTTGAATCAGAGTGATTTTTTACAGAGTAGGATTTATCCCTCCCTAAGACAAGATACTTGTATCTATGTTGGCCATTCTTTTTTATGAAACAAAGCAATACCAACTCTTTCAATTTGTCTTTAAGTTTGGAATGGGGAATACTTGTGTAAAGTGTAGAAAAGTCAAATATTTTAATACTGTTGAAAGATGAGAGTCTTAGATTGTATGTACTCTAAAAGATCTTTGAAATTTTTTAGTATCCACATCTGACTCACATCATAATAGTTCAATGTGTACTTCAAGTTTTATACGACCGCAAAAAAATTTTGCGGTCGTATATTGGTATGACGTTGGCGTCGTCGTCGTCGTCGTCGTCCGGCGTCGTCGTCGTCGTCGTCGTCGTCCGGCGTCGTCGTCGTCGTCCGAAGACACATTGGTTTTCGCACTCTAACTTTAGTTTAAGTAAATGGATCTCTATGAAATTTTACCATAAGGTTCAATACCACAAAAGGAAGGTGGGGATTGATTTGGGGGGTTATGGTACCAACAGTTAAGGGGCCAAAAAGGGGCCAAAAAATAAGCATTTTTGTAACTTCCAGACATAACTTGTGTGTTAGTGTATGGATCTCTCTGACATTGTACCACAAGGTTCCATATCACAAAGGGAATGCTGGGATTATTTTGGGGGTAATTGCCTCCAAATTTTAGGAATAAGGGGCCAAAAAGGGGCAAAAAACAAGCATTTTTCTAGTTTCATGACAATAACTTGTGTGTAAGTGTATGGATCTCTCTGACATTGTACCACAAGGTTCCATATCACAAACGGAAAGCTGGGATTGATTTTGGGGGTTATTGCCTACAAATTTTAGGAATTAGGGGCAAAAAAGCTTCAAAAAACAAGCATTTTTCTAGTTTCATGACAATAACTTGTGTGTAAGTGTATGGATCTTTATGAAATTGTACTACAAGGTTCCATATCACAAAGGAAAAGCTTTAATTGAGTTTGGGGGTAATTGCCCAAAACGTTTAGGAATAAGGGGCCAAAAATAAGCATTTTTTTAGTTTCCAGACAATAACTTGTGTTCAAGTGTATGGATCTCTCTGAAATTGTACTGCAAGGTACCATACCACAAAGGGAAGGCTGGGATTGATTTTGGGGGTAATTGCCTCAAAATTTTAGGAATAAGGGGCATAAAGGGGCAAAGAACAAGCATTTTTCTAGTTTCAGGACAATAACTTGTGTGTAAGTGTATGGATCTTTATGAAATTGTACTGCAAGGTTCCATATCACAAAGGGAAAGCTGGGTTTGAGTTTGGGGGTAATTGCCCTAAACGTTTAGGAATTTGGGGCCAAAAAGGGGCCAAAAAAAAGCATTTTCTAGTTTCCAGACAATAACTTGTGTTCAAGTGTATGGATCTCTCTGAAATTGTACTGCAAGGTACCATACCACAAAGGGAAGGCTGGGATTGAGTTTGGGGGTGATGAATCATAAGGGGGTTCAAAAAATTTGGGGAGGGATTTTTTTTTGTTTTTTTCTTTAAAATTTTCCATTTTGAATTGGTTATTTCTGATTTATATATAAAAGCAAATAATAATGATATGGTTTGAATAGGTAAATTAAAAATTTTTAAGTTCTTAGACCACATTCATTCTGTGTCAGAAACCTATGCTGTGTCAAATATTTAATTACAATCTAAATTCAGTGCTGTATCAAGCTTGAATGTTGTGTCCATACTTGCCCCAACTGTTCAGGGTTCGACCTCTGCGGTCGTATCAAGCTGCGCCCCAGCGGAGCATTTTATTAGCTTATAAATCTCTAACGAGAACACTTTATAATAAACGCCAAATTGCGGTCGTATCAAGCTGCGAGATTGTTTAAGGCTTTTGTAGTTAATAATTTAAACAATGCTCTAGTATCATCAACTGCATTGTGTGCACAATAGTTTTCACCAAGAAGTTCTGACACCAATGAAGTTTGAGAATATGATGGTAATCCTGGCATTATTTTCTTAAATAACTCCATGGTGTCTATGAATCCACATATGTGAGATGGAAACTCATTCCACATCAGATTTGCCTTTAAAGAATGGTACAAAACATGGCAATCAAAGTGTTTGATGTTGTGTCCTACAAGAACTGGCTTGGATGGATATTTGGAAAGAAATGTTATAAAATCAGTGAGAGCTTCATGTGGTAATTTGTACGAAACAGGTTGTAAATTATAAAACATCTGATTTGCAGAAACAGTAATTTTCATATGACCGCAAAAAATTTTTGCGGCCGTATATTGGTTTGACGTTGGTGTCGTCCGAAGACACATTGGTTTTCGCACAATAACTTTAGTTTAAGTGAATGGATCTCTCTATGAAATTTTACCATAAGGTTCAGTACCACAAAAGGAAGGTTGGGATTGATTTTAGGGGTTATGGTACCTACAGTTAATGAATTAGGGGCCGAAAAGGGGCCAAAAATAAGCATTTTTGTAACTTCCAGACAATAACTTGAGTGTTAGTGTATGGATTTCTCTGACATTGTACCACAAGGTTCCATATCACAAAGGGAATGCTTGGATTGATTTTGGGGGGTAATTGCCTCAAAATTTTAGGAATTAGGGGCAAAAAAAGGGGCAAAAAACAAGCATTTTTCTAGTTTCATGACAATAACTTGTGTGTAAGTGTATGGATCTTTCTAAAATTGTACTACAAGGTTCCATATCACAAAGTGAAAGCTGGAATTGACTTTGGGGGCAATTTCCCAAAACGTTTAGGAATAAGGGGCCAAAAAAAAGCATTTTTCTAGTTTCCAGACAAGGATCTCTCTGAAATTGTCTTGCAAGGTACCATATCACAAAGGGAAGGCTGGGATGGATTTTGGGGGTAATTGCCTCAAAATTTTAGGAATTAAGGGCCAAAAAGGGGCAAAAAACAAGCATTTTTCTAGTTTCAGGACAATAACTTGTGTGAAAGTGTATGAATTTTTATGAAATTGTACTACAAGGTTCCATATCACAAAGGGAAAGCTGGGTTTAAGTTTGGGGGTAATTGCCCTAAACGTTTAGGAATTTGGGGCCAAAAAGGGGCCAAAAAACAAGCATTTTTCTAGTTTCCAGACAATAACTTGTGTTCAAGTGTATGGATCTCTCTGAAATTGTACTGCAAGGTACAAATGTACCATACCACAAAGAGAAGGCTGGGATTGAGTTTGAGGGTGATAAAACATAAGGGGTTCAAAAAATTTGGGGGGATTTTTTTCTATTTTAAGACTTTTATAATGTATTTAAATTGGTAATTATGGTTGCAAACTCCATTGGAAATTTATATTGACATGAGATTATGACCATATCTTGAGGGAAAGAATTTTTTTTGGAAAAACGGGGGGGGGGGGTCAATACGCAACAGCATACCGATAGTGTATTTCACAAAAGCAAAAAACAGGGGGGGGGGGATTTTTTTGGGGGGGGGGATTTTTTTTTGGGGGGGGGGTCAATTTTGCAACAGCATATAGTGTATTGCACAAAAGCAAAAAATTGAATATAAATTCAAATCATATAACCAATTCTAAGTTCTTTGACTACAGTTATTCAGTGTCAGAAACCTATTATGTGGGGCAATATGCGCAATTGTTTCTCCAATAGGCGGTAATGGTAACGTTTTCTTCTGTAACTCAGTCCATATTGTAAACTTGGATATGTATGATGGCTCGTTTCAAAGCTGAGACATTTTCACATATGTAGTTAAATTTTCGAGGTACAAAGTTTGATTTATTTTTCCGTTAATTAGCATACCCCAAAAATCCTTTCGTGATGCGGCTCTTCCTGGTAAAAAATCCCTTTTTTCACACAATAAATTCTTTGAAAATTTAATACTTTGAATACATTTAATGATTCAATAGTTTTTACACATTTATTCTATGGTCCTCTACTTTCCAAATCAACACAAATGGTTAAGTAAGCTCTGTCACTTGTTAAAAATAGAAACATGTCCAATATCAATACACAGACTCAGAGATTTTTTGTTTACACACAAATTTATGTTCCTCAATTTGAGGCTCATTATGGATATTGACCCATATTGAACTCCATAGTTCTGATTTTTCCCAATATTCCTGTGTAATCTTCATCGGTATGACTTTCTGAATAAAACTGTGAGTTTTTGTCCATTTCTGAAAGAAAATAAAGTTGTTTCAGCACTATAAGGCAATGATCCTTTTATCCCTATATTCATTAATTTTGAGTTCAATGTGTAAGTATAATATTGATTTCTTCCAGTATATCTTCACAAGTCGCAATATAGATAAAATATCTAATGATAACCTTTAATTACAATATAAAGACCCTGTTAAAGCATTTAATAAAATTTCTGATGTCTAAAAGTGTATTTTGACTGAGAAATTATGCAAAAATGTAGATTTCATCCAAAAACTTTAAAAAATACTAAATAATTTTTGCCACTGGAAATCTGGTATTTTCTACCTTAAAAACCACTCTAAAATGGTGTGAATGTCATATTTATCATATAATTAAAGCGCAATGAAGTGCAAATTTTCAAAACTTGACCTTTCACATAATTCTATTTAAATAAAAAGGTTTTTTCGAATGTATTGCAGTATAAACCCTTTATCAGTGAGAACTGCCCATAAGCTTTTAAGTAAACATTATGACATCACACGTATTATGATGTCATTAAATAGCGACTGATAAAAATAATGCTAAGCATAGTTTGCTGTGTTACATAATGAACAGTTGCCTCAGGTTTAAAGTCAAAATGTTGAGTCGAAAAGATCAGTAACTAAGCATTTTTGTATAATATCAAGACCATAGCAACAGTTTTCATATCAGCATATTTTCATTACCCTGACTGTAATTTCAATTGCATAAAAACCATAAATAAACAATTTAGAGCTTGCCTAATAAAACAAAATGCTTACCAGTAATTCAGAACTTTTTAAAACCTCTTATTTGCCATCTCAGGTTAAACTGGAATGATATGTCTGAAACTAAAATAAGACAAAAAATTTACTCAGGTTGTGTTATCATTTCATTTAAATACAAACTGTATAATTGAGAGGGAAAATTCAAATCCTTGAAAGTTTTATCACAAATAAAGAGATTCTTCTCTCTTGTGGCTTCACAACCTTCATTTTAACCTTTTTTTATGAGGAGCAATCAGTAGTAGCTTAATAGCAGAATAGGTGAAGCACTTTGTTTTTAGAAGATTTGACCCTCCCCTTTTTCACTGAGAAAAGACACTATCTTGTGTTTTGTTACTGTGCATTAAAATATATAGCAATTTGTGCTTTTCTTAAAATATGTTTGTCTGTTTAATTGCATGTTTTAGTGACCAGCTGCTAATTAATGGTCAAATTATTGGTGTAAAACAATGTACGTACGTATCACTATCAAATTATATATTCGTCCGAAGCGTGTTATTTCCCTTGATTATCAGCTATTCCTGTAGCATGTGTAGACTGGAATGATAATGACATAACAATGTCTTTAGTGTGTCATGTTGACTTACAATTTAACAATATTAAATCTTTCCAAAAGAAGTTAGTCCCTTTTTCATGTCAATAACATGTGCCAGCGTCTGATGTAAACACAGTTTTTATTGTGCCAAAAAGAAGTACTTCAGCCCCGTGCCAGTAATACATTTCAAAAGCGAAAATTGTTGCCGATCTTTATAAATAATGTTAATCTAAAACCAGCTGTGATGGCTAGGTATTTATAAAAAACGACTAACCTTCATTTTCACAATTTTCTCTGGTGTACAAGATGCAATCATTCATAAATCAGTCTGACAACTTCAAATATACAGTCTTATAAATTGGGGCAATATGCGCAATTGTTTCTCCATAGGCGGTAATGGTAACGTTTTCTTCTGTAGCTCAGTCCATATCATAAACTTGGATATGTATGATGGCTCATTTCGAAGCCGAGACATTTTCACATATGTAGTTAAATTTTCGGGGTACGAAGTGTGATTCATTTTTCCGTTAATTAGCATACCCCGAAAATCCTTTCGTGATGCGGCTCTTCCTGGTAAAAAATCCCTTTTTTCACACAATAAATTCTTTGAAAATTTAATACTTTGAATACATTTAATAACTCCATAGGTTTTACACATTTATTCTATGGTCCTCTACTTTCCAAATCAACACAAATGGTTAAGCTCTGTCACTTGTTAAAAATAGAAACATGTCCAATATCACTCCACAGAGATTTTTTGTTTACACACAAATTTTGTGTTCCTCAATTTGAGGTGCATTAGGGATATTGACCCATGTGTCAAATAATTATTTACAATCCAAATTCAGACCTGTATCAAGTGTGAATATTGTGTCCATTTTTGCCCCAACTGTTCAGGGTTGGACCTCTGCGGTCGTATCCAGCTGCGCTCAGCGAAGCATTTTATTGTAATTTCGGAGGCCTGTATTGAGATAGGTTGGTTTGGAAAGATGTAACTGCTAAATTCGGTATTGTTTGAAGTTGCAGCAATCTGTATTACATCTGATGTTCTATCTGGAAAAAAAAATTAGTTTAGTTTTTCATTATTTCAATATTTCTCAATAAATACAAAATATGTTACCTGCTAATTCAATAGTTTTAGCAATGTATGGGTTAATCTTATCACCAAAATGAACCGAAAAGGAAAAGAAAAAAACTTATTATTTTTTTCATGATTTATTATTCTAATATTGCGTTTACAATATCTAATGTTCACTTTTCTTAAGTTTTTCATGTGAGGGTCTGTTAAAGCCTCCTGTGTGATATAGGTTATTTTCATTGTTGAAGTCTGCCTATAATTGCCTACTTTCACTTCATTTGAACTTTAGGTGAATACAGTCTCATTGGCAATCATACCACATCTCCATACTTTCATATAGACAGTTTAAGAAATTTGTATGGGCAATTTTCCTGCTGTGATATACATTTATCTCTACCTTTAATATTTGAGTGAAATCATATAATAGTATTACTTCAAAAAGAAGAATGAAAAGCTGGTTCCATGTGCAATAACCAATATACAATGTATAAACCGGTAAGCATATAAAGTTTTCATATATAATTTACTATAAAACCCCATTTAATTTAAGTTTTTTTTTAGTAAAATGTTATGCTATAACTATAAGGCAGAGCGGATATTTGCCATTAAGAGAGTTTTTAGTAGATAATATTTGTACATGAGAATAATTTTTCTATATATTTATATATTAACAACTTAAATAGGCTGGTAGTTTCTAAATCAAAGACTACCAGTGGAGCTGTAGAAATATCTATCGGTATACATAAAGATGCATTCATTGGAGCAGGGATTTCTTCATTTAACTTCTCATTGTTAATTCCTATAACACATCAAGTTTTTTAAAAACAAAATTGCAGATTTTGATTGTTATATATGGTGTAAAATGTGTTTGTACAAAAGTAAATGAAACATCAAATGTTTAAAGTATGTTCAATTTTATAACTTTGATAATGCTTATTGCATATCATGCATCAATCTTAAAGACCAAAAAAGGGGCCCTCCGCTAATCAATTATAAGTACGAAAGACAGAGAATGAAGTTTAAAAATGATACTTTGGTTAAATTTGCAATAAGTTAAATGAAGTCAAAGTTTAAATTCCAAGACATTTTAAAAAGTTAAGGATGTACTTAGGTAAAATTAAAAAAATCAAATATTTAAAATTGATACTTTAAGTCAGAAGAGCAATAGTTAAGGGAGCTACCATTTGATTTTTATGGGGGGCTAGGATGAAATTAGGAAAAAAGGCAGGACAGAAGTTTTGAGTAAAAAAAATGCAATTAGATTTACCTATTTCACTTTCATAAATTCTTCCTTCTCTCAATTCAACTTCGGTACTTTTTACTGATCTTTCTTTTTTTAAGATTGATTCTTCTTTTTTTGTGCTGCTTTGTTTTGGCTCTTTCAGATTTTTTATCCCTCTTTCTATTCAATCGTATAGCCCTCTTGATAGTCTCATTCCCAGGTGACAATCCAGCTGCTTCACTAACCTTAAAAATAAATAAATTATAACAACATGTATAAATTCAATATGAGGATGGTCTTAACAGTTATTTAAGAATTGACTATTCCTTTTTGTTGCCAAGTTTTATTTTGATGTAAAAGCATTGATCAAAGCACATTTTTCATGAAGCACTTTAGACTTTTATACCCTATAAAACTACAAAAATAATGAAGAAGGAACAAGGATGCGAGATTTTATTGCTGTGTTGAAGACCCATTAATGGACTTTGGCTGTTTTCTGCTTTGGTTAGGTTTGCTGTCTGTTTAACACATTCCCCATTTCAATTCTAAATTTTATTTCTTAAAATTACATTTCACATTTAAAATATACTTTTTGTATAGTGAAATAACAAATTTCCCTTATTTTGTTTTGAAACATTAGGGAGCAACCATTGAACTTCAAGGGGGGGGGGGGGGGGGGTGGTGTGTTATGGCCTGTTGTTTGAGTCAAGGGGATTATGGTCTGTTGTTTGAGTCAAAAAATATTTCGTGCAAAGCAATTTTTTTTTACTTTTTGACGCTGATAATCAAAATTTTTTTGAAAATCTGGATTCAGAATTTTTTTGTCATCTGCTTGAACAGAATATATTTTTCATCAAACTTGGGATCAGAATATTTTTTTTTGGAAAAAACCATATAAGTATAATTTGCAAATATTACCTTTGACACATAACCATATCCCTCATTTTTTGGTAAGACTGCTGCACTGACACAATAATTTAAATTTGAGGAACCAGAATAATGCTTATTTTTTGCTGCTTTGGTTGAGACCGTATGGTTAAAGCTATCTGACAGTTTCTTTGATTGGCTTTCAATTTTTCCCAGAAACAATTTCTCTAGATCAGCTTTGAGGCTATCAGATGTCAAGTCCTTTCTGAAGGGTAAGTTTGTGTGCCTATATGATGCTCTGTCTTTTAGATAACCACACCATTTCATATCACAGGTTTGGTGTTTCCCATACATATGGTCAATTCTCCCTCTGACTCCTTTTTCAATTTTTTCTGGACTGCCTTGGTTTTGTGCCAACATATAAGAATAATTCTTGGTAATTGCATTTATTACCATTGGCAACAACTCCTTTTGCTTTGGTTTTAGGCTGTACAGCTTTTTGGTGATATTTATGATTATATGATTTCTATCACTGGTTTTTACCATTTTAGAATTTGGAAGAAGTTTCTTTGCCCTGTCAAACCCAACAGAATCGTCATCACCTGCCAGTTCATTAATTTCAATATTTTGCTCATGTACATCCTTCACCAACTGTACTACCATGTCTGGTTCCATGTCCTTTGCTGCCCTTGACCAGTTTTTTTTACAATTGTGTGGTATAGGTGGTCTTCCCTTCTTTTGTGCATTCCGACATATATACGGCAGCTGGATATTCTGAGGGTGTGATGCACAATTTTCCCTGTTTTTTCTCCTATCACTGATGCCACACCTGAAAAGTTAAATGTATATGCTAATGCAAGTAAGTGTAAATATGGAGTAATCATGTTGCTATACTAGTAATTCAAATTGATTGTGTAATAATTCTTATATGATTTGCATATCTATAAATACTTGAATTGGATTGGTCAATTAGAATTTTTCTCTTGGTTTACACTTAGATTAACCATGTTTCCGAAACTAATTTTGTAATCTATTCATGCGCGATACACATGCTTGCAGGGATCCCGTGACTTTCAGCAAATTGAGATTAAAAAACAAATTTGGCTTAAAGGGGCACTAGCTGTCAAATTCATGTTCACCGATTTGACTCAAATTCTCATATTTGATTTATAACAATGCAAAACATTTATCCAAATTATAAAAAATCTAAAATAAACAATATTCCGGGCATGGGCTCGATAATATGTAGCTTCGTTTTGTGTTATTTTAGTCTAGATGCCATCTAATTACTTGTCGAGTTGACCCCCGAAGATCTCTGATTGCCAAATAAGCGATATAAACATAAATAAAGATATAAATAGATAGCAGAATCGTGCATTTGGATTTTTCTAGGTCTGTTTAATTTCATATTATAGATTAAAAATATCTGTTAATCATCGTTTTTACCTGTTAGGAATGATTTTTTGTGGATCGAATCAGTCAATCAAATGATTTACCTTTGTTTCACTTTCAATGTTGACATTCTTTTCCTTTAAATAATTGAACACGCACAATGCATGCGGTATCCATCTCTAGCCAAGGGGTTAAATTGAAGTTCACATGAATACGGATTCAATGAGGTCGAATTATTCACTTGCAAGTGAATAATTCATCCTCACTGTTTCTTAGCTTATTTTGACAAAATTGAACCATACTGGCTGCTAAAAGGGATATATTATTTCACTATTTCACTTTCATTAATGATTGAACAAAAAAAAACGTATTTTATATTTTTTATACATCTCGTAGCTAGTGCCCCTTTACGAATTATAAGGATTAAACACATTTTTTTAGAGGTTATTGATGTGTAAACCCGGGCTCTTACTCACAAACTTTACATAAAAGTCCTTTGCACTTTTATTCAGATTGTGAGTTAATCGCCCCCGTTACATATCAATAACCTCTAGAAAAAATGTGTTTAATCCTGTAATAAAGGCGCCAACCTCATTTTGCCTAATTTTAGTAAAAACCACTTTTTGTCGGAATAAAAGACAGAAACAATATATTTCGTTGAGTATTGCATTAGACATAAGGTAAACTTACTTTGAGATAGTAAAATACACGATCTACAGCTGCAAAGTTTAGAATGGAATACAAAAAGGAGCCAAAAACAAGCATTTTTGTTGTTTCGGGACAATAGCTTGTGTATAAGTGTATGAATCTTTATGAAATTGTACCACATGGTTCCATACCTCAAAAGGAATGTTGGGATTTATTTTGGGGGGAAATGGCCTAAACCATTTAGGAATAAGGGGCCAAAAGGTGCAAACAAACTAGGATGTTCTGGTTGCCTGACAATTACTTGGAGTATAACTATAAGTCTATGGATCTCTTTGAAAATGTACCACAAGGATCCATACCAAAAAAGAAAGGTTGGGATTGATTTTGAGGTTTATGGCCCTAACATTTTAGGGAATAAGGCCAAAAACAATACTTTTCTGATACTTTGTATAAATTGCTTATTTCCTGGCCTATTTCCATGGGGTTTAAATCTAAGTCTTAAAAACTTGGGGTTGTTTAATAGAAAGAATCTGTGTATTTAGATTTTGGATTGTGATCCCGTGTGTAAATTGGTACACATTGAGGTCCAAAGGTCCCAATTTAACTTTGTTTGATTTTTTAAGAAATATAGATTTATTTGGGTTTTTTATATGGTGATTCTCATGTGTATTCAGATTTTTTATTTTGGGGCCAGTTTTCAAATAAGTCCACATTAAGGTCCAAAGGGTCCAAACATAAACTTTGATTTCAACAAATATTTAGTTCTTGAGTTTTTTTGATATGCCGAATCTGTGTATTTTTAGATTTTATGATTTTTCGGCCCTGTTTTGTAATTGGTCCACATTAAGGTCCAAAGGGTCCAAAATAAGAATTTGATTGATTTCAACAAATATAAATTTATGGGGTTCTATGATTTGCTGATTATTACCCTGTATTCATATTTTGGATTTTGTGTCCAGTTATCAAATTTGTCCGTATTTAGGTCCTAAAATACTCTCAGTTTGAATTCATCCATTATTGAAATCTTTTGGTTCTTTGATTTGCTGAATCAAACCATGTAGTTATATCTTTTATATAAATGGACCATAATCATGATAAAAGATAAATGACTATATGACTATTTTCACTCTGTGTCAGAACCTATGCTATGTCAAATATTTAATCACAATCCAGAATCAGAGCTGAATTGCACAATTAATAGAAATTTCATTTCAAGTAGATTCATATTTGATAATATAGATTAAAAGAAGGGAATTGCCACTTGAAAAGTCCTATTTAATTTTTTTCATATCTTAGACCACATTCATTCTGTGTCAGAAACCTATGCTGAGTCAAATATTTAATCACAATCCAAGTTCAGAGCTGTACAAAGCTTGAATTTGGTGTCCATATTTGCCCCAACTGTTCAGTTTTTGACATCTGCAGTCATACGAAGATGAGCATTTTATAACTAGTATGATTTTTTTTTTTTTTAAATATTTGAATATTTGTACACTTGCCTTTAATGCATGCACATTTTTTTGTTTTTGTTTTTATAAGAGCACTATGATTTTATATGTACCTGACAAACTATTGTAAGCCCTTCCAGAACCTTTCTTCTGCCAACAAGTGTCTGTGGATGCATTAATACCTGCTTGTTCATTACCTTCTGTAAAAAAAGGTTAAATTCATAATACTGGAAAATATGTATTTAAAAACAGATCTCCAGCCCTAAAAACATGAACCAAAAGGTAAAACTTAACTACAGTCATTTAAGCATGAAATAAATACCAAAGTTGCCCAAGTGTTGTAGAGATTAATTGTCCTTAATACATGAGGACTGTAGCTGAGAATTATCATTGATTTATTATGAAATGTTTTCAGAGAAATAAACCTAAACACACAACTCAACCATGAAATTAAGGTGATAGTGACACTAAGATTTAGGTATATATAAAAAGGTATAGAAATAGAAATACTTTAATAATCTAATTATGGAGCCTAGCAGATTTTAAATTTCATACCATTATTACAATGATTTTTCTTATGACAATGAAATAATAATGAAATAAATTACAACACAATAGAACAATGAATAGTTGTTGCCTGCACATGGAAGAGAAAAGTTAATAGGGGAGCCATTCAAAAAATATTTAAGGATTATTTCCCTTTGAACTATATCTAATAATTTTTGAAGATATAAATTGCTCTGAGTTGGATAAAAAAGAAGCCCACACTGATTAGATATAAGGGTAGGTTTCTCCCATGTACATGCAACAACCAATTACTAAATATCTATGCATATAATATTTAAATTGCAAGAATTGGATTAGCACCTTTTACACATATTTTAGGCATTAACGTTAACATATACATGTCAATATATAAAATGACATTTGTAAAATATGTGTGCCATTGTATGTACAATGTACATGTATATGCAAATGACAGGATCAGGCCTATTTTTTTATAAAATTATTATATTTAATTTTCATTCAAACCTGCATCAATGGTCATGGACTTGAAAGCTTCGTCAAGTAAAAACTTCCTTTCTGAAGCATTTGCCTGACACTCTGTTATGTCTCCAACTTCATTTTCTCTTGACTTTAGTGACTTATGATGAGGACAATGGACATTCATGGCAGCTAGCAAATTATTCAGCTGCGTTTCTGCTATGCCTGCATGAATCATACCTGATAATATAAAAACATACAAAAAAATAAATGAACAATAAATTTAAAACACCAGCAAAATTATTTTCAGTAGTTTTAATTATATAGGTTGGGCCATATTTTCTATGTACATGTACAAGTAGGAAAATGAAGGCAAGCAAAATTAATTTTGTGTCTCCTGTGGCAATGCAAAATAGGGAATTATGATGTCTGACCAGGATAAAATGGTATGTTTTAAATTATCACACTACTGGCAGCTGATTTTAGTTCTGGTTGGCTAGTAAGTCTTGCAAATCAAGAGGATTTTTCATGTTGGCAATTAAGATTGACATATGCTTAAAGATATTCATTATCACAAAAAGTGAAATGATATCAATATTATTTTGGTTATCAAATTAAATTTCCTCTATTTTGGAGTAACAAAAATGTACATATGATGACGTCATTATTCTACTTTTATGCATCATAGCATTTTGAAATTAAACAAAAAACATAAATCTGCTCTTTCAATTTGAATCGTCAGAACTTTAGATAAAATATCTTTAACACTTACATTTGTAGGTACATGTATCAGCCCACTAAGCCAATCTCGGAATTAAGTATTTTCTGCACTTTTCATAGTTTATTACATACATATATTTATAAATGTATAAATAACCTGCCACACCAAGTCTGTGTGTTCGTTATTTGTTTTTCTGCTTTTTATTGATCTGATGAGTTATAATTAAACGCTTTTCAACTGATTTTTATACATGTATTTTGTTCATATCCATGTATTGCGCTGTTACAATACTGTCCCAGGTTGGGCACCTGCAAAAAATTTAACCCCTCCATATTGTACATTGTATGTGCTTGTCCCAAGTCAGGTGCCTGTAATTTACGTTAGTGATTGAAGTTTAATGCTGTGTAACATATTTGTTTTTTCATTCATTGTTAAGTACTTAAAATTGTTGTTAGTTTTTTTGTTTGAATTGTTTCACAATTATCATTTGGGGCATTTTATAGCTGACTATGTGGTATGGGTTTTGCTCATTGTTAAAGGTTGGACGGTGACCTAAAGCTGTTAACTCATATGTATTTGGTCTCTGTTGGAAAGTGGTCTTATTGGCAATCATACCACATCTTCTTATTTTTATATGTACATGTAGTACAATTTTTTATATTGACCAAACTATATCATTATCATAATTGAAAGAACATTTGTTTACCTGCAGCTAATTTTGTATTGACATCAAATGTACCAACTCCTTTTCTACATGTACATGGTGTTACTTTCCCTAATCTTATTCGGGCGATATCTCCACATTCTGTACATTGTATATACAAAATACCAGCAACACCATAAGGTTTAACTCCCAACGAATTATGTAATTGTAAAGGGACTTCACATTTGGAACATTGTTTCAACTGTTGAACAATATAGTCTAGTTCGACAACATATCTACAGTGGTTTAAGGGAAGTAAATCAGTAGGTAATGGTAACAAGTCAAAATCAACATTTATATTATATTCATCATCAACCATGCACTACTTCATGATCTTTTATATCAGGTACATGTACAGACTCAAAAGCAACATTACACAAATCAGATGTTTCAATGGTTTTCAGTTGGGCATACGAGTGGTCAGGTTTTAAGTTTTGACAATGGACTGAGTCAAATGATGGTATATCGTGGTGGTCAGGTTCTAAGTTTTGACACCTGTCCCGCTCGAACTTTTGACGTCATACAACAATCACTTTTCCATTGTGGTGTCAGATATATTCTATTATGACGTCAAAATTTTACGGGAACTTGTGTGATGTCCAGTAATTGCGGACATATAGCGATAAGGTGTATCCACTCCTGTGAAAAACTAGCCCTTGGATTCATTGGTTTTTCTCTAAATTCTTCTTTTTTGAAAATTTTCCTTGTTTGTTCCTTTGAGACATTGTTCAGCAGACGATACAATATTTTACGATTGTCGTGATTTTATAAAAATTTTCATCATTCACGGATTTGCAATATTTCAGTGACTAATTCTGAACTGTAATTAATCTGTTATAAAGCTTCTGCAAATGTAGGCACACCTCTTTCGAGTAGTGTATTTAACAATATGAATAAAAATATCTTCCACCAATATCACTGTACATTATTTACATTCTTGACGATAAAATTGGGCTTAATGTCAATTTAGACTGCATCAACACTTTAAATACTTAAAAATCTTGAATATCTATCTAAAGATATCACTGTTTAAGAGTAGACAACCATTAATCACTTAAGGGTTTATATAAAGTTATTATCTACTTTTTCTTCTTTTTCTTTATATCATCTAATTGCAACAATCTATACCTTTCACAATGGAGATTGTAACATATTCGTCTACATTTTGGATCTATAAGTTTCTGTATCACTTTAAAAGCTTTTTCATTTCTTAACATTGTCAAGTAGGCAAATGGATCTATAATCAGTTGTAAAATGTTAAAGTGTTCATCTCTCATATTAAAAATAGCCAACTCTTCACTACAGGAATTAATTAAATCTTCCAAATATTTAGAAAAACAAGGAAAATTTTCAAAAAAGAAGAATTTAGAGAAAAACCAACGAATCCAAGGGCTAGTTTTTCACAGGAGTGGATACGTACTTTTTAGATACTCACCACGATATCTCTTTCTTTGGGTGGATCTACGTGTTGAAAATTAGTAAGACAGCCTAAAAATATACCGAAATGAATACAATTATAACAAAAATTGATAGTCATTCTAGTATAAATATAAAAGCTGGTTACTTGTCAAAATATTGAAAGCAAGTTTCTTCCGAGATTCCAAAATGGCCAATCTCGATGTCAACAAACCGTAAAAAGGTCGACTTTGTAGTTTTAAATACCGTCCTTAATTTAATTTTTGTGAATTATGAATCGAGAAAGCACTAATTTAGAACAAAAATTGATAGTGTTTTTATATTGTTTTTATTCGAGAAGAAAGTAAATATTTTGCGACGTTCGACCGATCACGGTAATGACTGCGCACCAATCGACGCAACGGGCGCGAAAATTTAAACCCGCGAGCCCTATCTGTTCAACCAAATTTTGCAATTTTCACAGCTTTCTAAATATTTTACCTGAAGTTTAACTTCATAGAAACCAGCTTTCTGCATGGCAATTTTCAACATACCTTTAAAGCCTTCTATTAAGAAAAAAACTGACCTTCAAAAAAGAGATACTCCAAAAATAACCCCATGGTTTTCTGGACATCTTAAATTAATATACTATGGAGCTCATTAATCCTCAATTTTTAATGCAAACTCATAGACAAGTAAATTTTGGCTCAAAATGGTCTAAATATATTTCTCTTTCACCAAAAGTTTCATTTCTGCAAATTTGTTGGTTTGTTTAAGTGAACAAGGACATCAAAAGCACTATTTTGTGTCAGAGTAGGGCTACTTTTACATATGTTCTAAATTGGAGGGAGTAATTGGTGGTCTGACACCTAAAGAGACAAAAAAAAAAGTTGATCAGAAATCGTTTGCTTTGCTTTATTCTTAATCCTTAGTCAATTTCTAGTTAAAAACAGCCTATCTGAGCATAATGCGACTTATATTACAAATTTCACAGCTCAATTTAAACTGACTGTAATGTATGACTTTGATAGAAAATACTTGAAAATTTCATTTTGGACTACAGGAACATAAACTTTCAATATCAAGATAAGTTTTTGTCGATTTTTCCTTGTTTGTTCTACTACTTTAAAGATTTTCCACAATTTTTACAATGAGTCTAGTAAAAAATCCTAGGTATTGAAGAGTCGAGGAATATTGACCCCCCTTTTTTTCACCTGGTGTCAGTAATGGGACTATTAACTGATCAAAAGTGTGGTCATGGTCATTTAACTGTTTTTATTTACTATCAGTCAAAAAAATTTAAGGTATAAAACTTTCATTTGAGATTATAAATGGGATTTTTGTGAGTTTATGCAGTGTTTACATCAGGCGACGTTATCTGCCAAATACATAGTATGACGCAATGATATAAGGGGTAAAATTAAATAATTTCATTAAATCTTCATGACGACAATATTTTGGGGGTAGTAAACAACCTATGTTTTAATATTTAACACCACAGAAACAACTTACTGTTACATTTTTAAAAATTTAGGACATTTTTGTATATGAAAGCATAATGTCAGGGTGGGAAAAGCTAAAAATAGCACAAATTCAGATTTAAGGCTCTAAATTTGCAATATCTGACTTTTTGCCTCAAAAAAGATTGAAATGTGGCTACTATCATTTCAATTGATCAGTTAAGACAAAAAAATCAATCGTTTTCTGATTTTGGGGTTTCACCGCATTTCGCTTAAAGGTGTCAGACCACCAATTAAATATCCCTATCTGTTCAACCAAATTTTGCAATTTTCACAGCTTTCTAAATATTTTACCTTAAGTTTAACTTCATAGAAACCAGGTATATCCTGAATTGTACATGTATCAGCTTTCTGCATGCCAATTTTCAACATACCTTTAAAGCCTTCTATTAAGAAAAAAACTGACCTTCAAAAAAGAGATACTCCAAAAATAACCCCTGGTTTTCTGGAAATCTTAAATTAATATACTATGGAGCTCATTAATCCTCAATTTTTAATGCAAACTCATAGACAAGTAAATTTTGGCTCAAAATGGTCTAAATATATTTCTCTTTCACCAAAAGTTTCATTTCTGCAAATTTGTTGGTTTGTTTAAGTAAACAAGGACATCAAAAGCACTACTTTGTGTCAGAGTAAGGCTTTTTTTTTATATCAGGTACATGTACAGACTCAAAAGCAACATTACACAAATCAGATGTTTCAATGGTTTTCAGTTGGGCATACGAGTGGTCAGGTTTTAAGTTTTGACAATGGACTGAGTCAAATGATGGTATATCGTGGTGGTCAGGTTCTAAGTTTTGACACCTGTCCCGCTCGAACTTTTGACGTCATACAACAATCACTTTTCCATTGTGGTGTCAGATATATTCTATTATGACGTCAAAATTTTACGGGAACTTGTGTGATGTCCAGTAATTGCGGACATATAGCGATAAGGTGTATCCACTCCTGTGAAAAACTAGCCCTTGGATTCATTGGTTTTTCTCTAAATTCTTCTTTTTTGAAAATTTTCCTTGTTTGTTCCTTTGAGACATTGTTCAGCAGACGATACAATATTTTACGATTGTCGTGATTTTATAAAAATTTTCATCATTCACGGATTTGCAATATTTCAGTGACTAATTCTGAACTGTAATTAATCTGTTATAAAGCTTCTGCAAATGTAGGCACACCTCTTTCGAGTAGTGTATTTAACAATATGAATAAAAATATCTTCCACCAATATCACTGTACATTATTTACATTCTTGACGATAAAATTGGGCTTAATGTCAATTTAGACTGCATCAACACTTTAAATACTTAAAAATCTTGAATATCTATCTAAAGATATCACTGTTTAAGAGTAGACAACCATTAATCACTTAAGGGTTTATATAAAGTTATTATCTACTTTTTCTTCTTTTTCTTTATATCATCTAATTGCAACAATCTATACCTTTCACAATGGAGATTGTAACATATTCGTCTACATTTTGGATCTATAAGTTTCTGTATCACTTTAAAAGCTTTTTCATTTCTTAACATTGTCAAGTAGGCAAATGGATCTATAATCAGTTGTAAAATGTTAAAGTGTTCATCTCTCATATTAAAAATAGCCAACTCTTCACTACAGGAATTAATTAAATCTTCCAAATATTTAGAAAAACAAGGAAAATTTTCAAAAAAGAAGAATTTAGAGAAAAACCAACGAATCCAAGGGCTAGTTTTTCACAGGAGTGGATACGTACTTTTTAGATACTCACCACGATATCTCTTTCTTTGGGTGGATCTACGTGTTGAAAATTAGTAAGACAGCTTAAAAATATACCGAAATGAATACAATTATAACAAAAATTGATAGTCATTCTAGTATAAATATAAAAGCTGGTTACTTGTCAAAATATTGAAAGCAAGTTTCTTCCGAGATTCCAAAATGGCCAATCTCGATGTCAACAAACCGTAAAAAGGTCGACTTTGTAGTTTTAAATACCGTCCTTAATTTAATTTTTGTGAATTATGAATCGAGAAAGCACTAATTTAGAACAAAAATTGATAGTGTTTTTATATTGTTTTTATTCGAGAAGAAAGTAAATATTTTGCGACGTTCGACCGATCACGGTAATGACTGCGCACCAATCGACGCAACGGGCGCGAAAATTTAAACCCGCGAGCCCTATCTGTTCAACCAAATTTTGCAATTTTCACAGCTTTCTAAATATTTTACCTGAAGTTTAACTTCATAGAAACCAGCTTTCTGCATGGCAATTTTCAACATACCTTTAAAGCCTTCTATTAAGAAAAAAACTGACCTTCAAAAAAGAGATACTCCAAAAATAACCCCATGGTTTTCTGGACATCTTAAATTAATATACTATGGAGCTCATTAATCCTCAATTTTTAATGCAAACTCATAGACAAGTAAATTTTGGCTCAAAATGGTCTAAATATATTTCTCTTTCACCAAAAGTTTCATTTCTGCAAATTTGTTGGTTTGTTTAAGTGAACAAGGACATCAAAAGCACTATTTTGTGTCAGAGTAGGGCTACTTTTACATATGTTCTAAATTGGAGGGAGTAATTGGTGGTCTGACACCTAAAGAGACAAAAAAAAAAGTTGATCAGAAATCGTTTGCTTTGCTTTATTCTTAATCCTTAGTCAATTTCTAGTTAAAAACAGCCTATCTGAGCATAATGCGACTTATATTACAAATTTCACAGCTCAATTTAAACTGACTGTAATGTATGACTTTGATAGAAAATACTTGAAAATTTCATTTTGGACTACAGGAACATAAACTTTCAATATCAAGATAAGTTTTTGTCGATTTTTCCTTGTTTGTTCTACTACTTTAAAGATTTTCCACAATTTTTACAATGAGTCTAGTAAAAAATCCTAGGTATTGAAGAGTCGAGGAATATTGACCCCCCTTTTTTTCACCTGGTGTCAGTAATGGGACTATTAACTGATCAAAAGTGTGGTCATGGTCATTTAACTGTTTTTATTTACTATCAGTCAAAAAAATTTAAGGTATAAAACTTTCATTTGAGATTATAAATGGGATTTTTGTGAGTTTATGCAGTGTTTACATCAGGCGACGTTATCTGCCAAATACATAGTATGACGCAATGATATAAGGGGTAAAATTAAATAATTTCATTAAATCTTCATGACGACAATATTTTGGGGGTAGTAAACAACCTATGTTTTAATATTTAACACCACAGAAACAACTTACTGTTACATTTTTAAAAATTTAGGACATTTTTGTATATGAAAGCATAATGTCAGGGTGGGAAAAGCTAAAAATAGCACAAATTCAGATTTAAGGCTCTAAATTTGCAATATCTGACTTTTTGCCTCAAAAAAGATTGAAATGTGGCTACTATCATTTCAATTGATCAGTTAAGACAAAAAAATCAATCGTTTTCTGATTTTGGGGTTTCACCGCATTTCGCTTAAAGGTGTCAGACCACCAATTAAATATCCCTATCTGTTCAACCAAATTTTGCAATTTTCACAGCTTTCTAAATATTTTACCTTAAGTTTAACTTCATAGAAACCAGGTATATCCTGAATTGTACATGTATCAGCTTTCTGCATGCCAATTTTCAACATACCTTTAAAGCCTTCTATTAAGAAAAAAACTGACCTTCAAAAAAGAGATACTCCAAAAATAACCCCTGGTTTTCTGGAAATCTTAAATTAATATACTATGGAGCTCATTAATCCTCAATTTTTAATGCAAACTCATAGACAAGTAAATTTTGGCTCAAAATGGTCTAAATATATTTCTCTTTCACCAAAAGTTTCATTTCTGCAAATTTGTTGGTTTGTTTAAGTAAACAAGGACATCAAAAGCACTACTTTGTGTCAGAGTAAGGCTCTTTTTACATACGTTCTAAATTGGAGGGAGTAATTGGTGGTCTGACACCGAAGTGTCATTAATATAGATAACACCTGCTAAACCACAATTCCTTCCAAACTAATAAATTTACATTGAGTACTAAGATCATTTGCCGAAATTGGATTTTTTATATTTTGTAGATAAATGATTAGGGTTTAAGAAAAAACAAATTTATGGCATTAAAATATTTTTGCCACTTTAGAAAATATAGACTTTTAAATATTAGCAAATTTCACCGTTTCATAAAACTTCGGATATTTGGACCAGAATTGAGCAAATATAGAAAAAAAAAATTAACCTCAGGTATTATAGGTAAGATATTTGGCAGTTAAAATACAGTATTACAACATATTTAATTATTACCAATAAAACAATTACATGCTGCTAAACACTGGTAATTTTCAATTTAAAACTGCTGAAATTGGCTATTTTTCATCTTTGACCATAAATGGCTATTTATAGATGGAGCTCCATACAGAGAGTAACATAATAACATTGAATATTTTTTTAAAATATTTTGCACAGAAAGTAGTTGCTATGAAGGTATCATGTAAGCAAAATTTCAGGTCAATATGACAACATTGCATTTGGAACCTTTTGCATTGTTTTCTGGCAGATTGGCTCTTAAATACACTCATTATGTAGAGACAAGATAAAAAAAAAAAGTAATTTTTTTCCTAAATATACATGGTTCAATGTTTTCTGCAAAGACGTACTATGGACCACGAATGCATTTGGTGTACTTTTTATACTTTAAGTTGTTTTTGTTTTATCGCTTCCAATTTCAACATATAACTGGGTATCGGTTTACACTAAATTTTCTTTGACATTTTTAGGCCGTCCATTTCAAACGGGTTATTTTCGGTTTTCGTTTTAGTGTTTTTAATTTTGTTTTAAATAACAAGTACAAAAAGCAATCCAGCCATTTTTTTTTTGACGTCTTGCGCAGATGGAAAAAAAATTAGATCTAATACACACAAAAATTGAACATTTACACACAGCAGATTTGTTGATTGAATTTTTGGTGTTTAATGCCACATTCAGTCCTATTGGCAATGTTACCGCATTTTCCAAAGAAACACCAATATTGTGCTCATCTTTATGTTATCTACAAAATATTATCAAAATTATAAACACTACCGTATAGTCACGGTGTAAGGTAGCAATACACAGTTAGAAGTTTAGTTCCGCATTTTGGCCATGGTGAATTTTTTAAATATGAAAGTTTTTGTACAATAAAATTTATTTTTAGATGGTTGAAGAATAATGTAGCTTTCCAAGTGGGTTTATATGAACATCAAGATTGTTTTTGCATGTTTTATAGGCCATTTTTCTGTTTGACATTCCATATTTTCACATCCTTACTGCCCATAGACCCAGAAATTATTGTAGTGTTTTTCAACCTCAAACTTTTCAATTCAAAATATGGAAAAATGAGCAGAAATACACATGATTTTTTTTTGGACCTCTTGATAGATAAATGTCTATGGTTTCAGGAAAGGTATCACTTTAATGGATTGAAATTCTCCTTTGAACCAAATTTTGGGGACTTTTGGGACATTTTTACTCCCCTTTATGCAATATTTTGTATCAAATAAATGCAGATTGTTTCCATGGTTACACCAAATTCACCATTATAACTAGTGGAAATCAAATCTTTGGAAGATGCTGATTCCATATATATGCACATGCATAACACAAACATAAAGCCTTATTTGTTAGAAAGCAAGGGAAAGAGGGTGGTTAAAAATTATGAGTGTCAATTTTAAATTTTTCTACTAACTGTGTATTGCTACCTAAAGTTCAAATAATTATGATGTCTTGCAAGGCTATTTTATTTTTACGCTGTGACGCCGTCAAAGCAAAAAATAAAATAGCCTTGCAAGGCGATATAATTATTTGGACTACCAGGTATCCAGTTTCATAATTTATTGTTTCTTCGAATGATAAATGAAAGTTAAATCGTTGTTTTTCGTGAAGAGTTTTGTGGTATCAAAATAGAAACCACCGTAATTTATCTTAAGAGTTGTCGTTCTTAAACCCTATTTATAAATAATAATAATAATAAAATTCTTTATTTAACAAAGGTAACACATTTAACAATTACATGTCGAACCCTGAACAGGGGGGGGGGGGGGGGGGGGGTGATAGGATGCAATTTGAAACAAAAGGTAGGACAGGAGTTTTGAGTAAAAAAAAAGGCAGGATGAGCAACTTGGCAAAAAAAAAGGCAGGATGACAATTTAAAAATGAATTTATGTAAAATAAGTCAGGATATTAATATTTGGAAAATAAATATATGACTTACTAGTTTAATAAAGCTAAAATATTTAATTAGTATCTCATACAACTTTCACATTAAACCCTTTAGTGGTTGCGGAGGAGTTGCGGACTGCAGGTAGTTACACTACACCAATAGTGATTTTCTCCTTTTTTGGTCCAAAGTTTCCCCCATATACCCTCAATGGGAAAAAACATATGGTGCACAATTTCACAACCCCCACAAGACATATGTCATATCATTAGTTAGTTGGATTTAAATATATTCTGTTCTTTGAGAGGACTTAAGGATTGTAGATATATTACAAACAGACGGACGGACAGACCGACCGACATTATGAATATTATATATCCCCCAGCTATCAATAGCATGGGTATAATAAGTCTCTTTACAAAAGGATCAAATGGATTCAGCACAGCCAATAATTACAGGTCAAGCTAGCCCTACTGGCCTGTTAAATAATTTATTAAAAGAAGAACGCTTAGGGGATATGGTTGGGTCACTACTGTGGATATGCGTATGAATCTTTCCAATGGAATAAGACATGTACAGAAAATTTATCAAATCACCAATTAATATATATATCTAAATTAAAAAGGAGGGATATGTTGTATATATTTATGATATTTACTTGATAAAATCCCAGCAAATTAACAGAGCTATTGTTACTGTTATTCCTCTAAAAGTCACAGTGATGCTTTCAACATTTACAAAAAGATCACAGCAAGTTCAAAATGACCCCTTAGCAATTTTTAACTTCGTTTAGACTTTAACTGTCAGATTCTTATGTACATAAAATAACATGTTTCAATCATTTTCGTTTTATATTTATTCAAAATACATGTATCAAGGGAATTATAATACAGGAAAGTAAAACACTAAATTGACTAATCAATGACGGTGGCATTTTTTTGTTGTTACACTACTGTTTTTGCAACAAGAATCAATATTAAGTTGAAATGTCTATGCTATCTGTATGTAATATATGTTGCCAAGTCTGTAGAAACAGCATGTACCAGTATGTCATCACTTGACATTTTGCTTTGCAAATCTTTGTCATCAACTATATTCAAATTCTCAATTTTAACTAATGATGACTCAGCTGGACCTCTAGTTCCTCAATAGTTGAAATTATTAAAGGTTTGATTAAAAATTGGTCTTTTTTCTGTAGCACTGCATTCTATGTATATATCATGTAAAAATTCCATAGCCCTACTATTAAAACGTTTCAATGGCTAATAGAAACTGTAAAAGACCATCATTCTGCAATATTCAAATTTGTTGACAAAACTGATTGTAGAGAAACCTTTGTGCTCATGACACATGTCTTAGTCTAGAGAAGTTTCACTATGTAGTTACTATTTTCTTTGTTGGCAAATACACCCTTGCCTATGCATATATGATATTTTTCTAAGACGTGAGGTTTTTGTGTAAACCTTTATGCAATTTCACTCAGGACAAGCAAAGAATGATTCATCATCTGAAATATCCTCAGCTATTACATTTGCTCTTGGAAAATATTCTGTTTCTGCTGTTTCGTTATATCCTCCATCTAATTTGTCTTTGTAATATAAGTGTAATTAACAGCATGGCACGAAAGATTTCTTCTTAATAAATGGCATTTGTACCTTCAAAAAAAAAAAAACACAACATATTATCATAACCTAGGCAAATATTGACAAATGCTAAAATAATAGTGTTCTAGCTCAAAGTTTTTCTTCTTCTCAAAAATGACACGAGACATATTGTTGTCTTAAACAGACTAGAAATTTTACTAACACTACTTTTTTTTAGAACACTACAAAGGTTAGTACTAGTGGAGCCTGACAGGCTTTCCCTTCCTAAGTACATGAGAACCTTCTCTCATTATTGTATTTTTATGGAGTTTTTATTGATAACTTCAATTCTTATAATTCTTATGCAATTCATTTGTAACAAATGTTTGGAGTTTAGATCCCACAGTCTTCCTGTCTTTAAACCAGCATTTTCAATTTCTGCTATTTTTAATTTTTTTTCTTTGAAGAAAAAAAATAACCACAATTTTTGCCTGAAAACCGGCTTTTTGTCAAAATTAATTTGTATCTTATGAAATATGAGTTTTTTTAATTTGTCTACTTTTTGCCTTTAATTTTTTTATGGGTTGGAAAAACAGGCAAAAATTCCAAAAGGGGGCAGGGGGGGGGGGGGGGGGGGGGGTCTTTGGACACATGTATCATTGGTCTGCTCAAGACTTTTTTATTTTTGTTTGACGATTTTATTATAATATACAGTTTGACATGTGACTGCTTCCATTGGCAATTTGATACAATTTCATGTGATCATTCATAACAACATGCAGGTATTTGATAACCCATATCAAATTCATGAAGTGTGCTAGTAAATTTCATTTAGCCAATGTCACAGTACTGACCTGGACCTGAAAATAACCAAAGATAAAAGTCATCAAGAATTTGGTCCACCAAGACAATGCATACTGGATGGTGGCATCATTTTTACCATTCTTGAGTTATGCCCCTTTATAAACATAAAAATTGCTGAATTTTTCGTTTCCGTTCTCTAATATTAAACTTTAGTTTTCTCAACCAAATGTTATGAAACTTGTACACAATGCTTATAATCATCAAATATTTTCTACGTTCAGAATACGAAGGGGGAAATTAAGTTTTTATTTTTACATTGATCTTTTGATGTGGTCTTTTTATAGATTCATGACGAGGTAAAGGTCAGATGAAATCTGCCAGACAGACATGTTCACTTTACACCAAATATAGTGACCCTCTTGCTTATAGTACCTGAGAAACAGATAAAACCATGTAAACTTATTTAAGGATCTGGTCTTGCTAATCATTTTTGGTATATAAATTTTCTATCTATTATAGTTTTCAGGCTAATAGGCATAACGGAAAAAAAATGGTTTCATCTTCTCTATCTATAGTGGTTTTCAAGATAACAGACAAATTCTCCTTTATCCTTATGTTCTATATTAAACCATGTTGCCCTTGTTGGTTGGCAGTTGGGGTCATTGAACACATTTTGTAAACTAGACACCATAATGATTAATCAAATTTGGCCTAGAAGTTTCAGAGGTGAATACATGTATTTGTGTAAAAGATAATGGACGGTGACAAATGCCAAGTGAGGAGAAAAGCTCACTTGAACCTTTGGGACATGTGAGGTAAAAAATTAGAAAACTGACGTAGGAAACCTCTCGCACATAAACAAAAATAAATTCGGATACAAACTAAGCAATATATTTTATCAGGTTTCAAGTTTCGGGAATTTTGTCACAGGATAAAATTTAGGATATATGTCCTATGTAAATATAAAGTGCCTTACAAAAAACCTGACTACTTGATGAAAAACACAGCACAAACTTATTTTTATGCCCCCCCTACGATAGTAGAGGGGCAATACGTTTTTCGGTCTATACGTCCTTTCGTTTGTTCATTCGTTTGTCCGTCCCGTTTCAGGTTATTTATTTGTATATTTTAGATATTTGTAAGCAATTTTTATTGTAATGAGCATGGTCTTGACTAGAATAAAAACTACATATAAATTATATTGAGTTATCATATGATTTGTGTATTCCTAGTACAATACATAATTTTACGTATGTATTAATCGGTGTAATTCTGAATTTTACAAGTTGGTTCTACAATATCATTAAAACTATATGATGGTTCACTCAGCATATAAAGCCACAATAAATCTAAAATTAAAACTATATGGTGGTTCACTCTGCATTAAAAGCCACAATAAATCCATGATTTAAATATATGTTAAAAGTTTAAAATTTGTAACCCCCCTTATTTACTAGTATGAAACATGCTGTACAACTAGAATGTACAATTTGTTCCAGAATTTTTTGTTTACCTTGAGTACATTTGTATATGGGAAACACAGTGAAGGCAATGTATATTGAGACTATGAAAAAGGGTAGATACATGTAACTAAACATGCTATTGAATATATCGACCTAATTTAAAGGAAACGAAAAAAATATGAGTGACAAGCATATACATGTTTGTAATGGCAAAAAAAGTTGTTAACAGTCCTGTTTAAACTAACTTAATTCTTGATATTTTAATGTGGCTCTTTATTCCAGGCTTGTGACTGGCAAGTTGTACTGTATTCATAATAATAAGCACCTTGGTTTTATTTAGAAATTAAAAATGGGGTATCTTACAATGTATATCAATGAAAATGATAAAAGACGTAAATATTGGGTCTGATCTAGATGATGATGATTGTAAAGATAATTTTTAAAATAGATTTCCTGCATAATGAGGTTATATTATTTAATCACAAAATTTGTAGGTAAATCTAAGAGTGCTATCACGATTGTGGGTGTTATGGTGCATGAATATTAGCGAATACAGTATTACTTGGCTGCATTACCCACCTCCCTCCTCAATTTTTTTTTTCTTTTTCTTTCATTTTTTTTTTAATATTCTTTTCTTTTTTTTAATTTTCTTTCTTTTCTTTTCTTTTCTTTTCTTTTCTTTTCTTTCTCTCTTTTCTATTCTTTTTTTTAATTTTCTTTCTTTCTTTTTTTTTTTTTTTTTTTTCTTTTCATTTTGTTTTCATTTTGTTTTCTTTCATTTTTCTATTCATTACATGATGTATGTACACAAGTTTCAAGCACATGCATTATTTTTTTTCTTTCTTATATAAATATATATATATATATACATGTATGTACAGTCTTCTTAAACTTGTAGAAGATTTTGAACAATTGTTTTTAGAATCAGAACTCAGTACTGATGCCCCAATGTTCCAGTAGTTGTTTTGTTTGTTGATGCAGTGCATTTTTTGTCTTCATTTGGTTGTATTTTCCAAGCATTTTAAATCCAACAATCATCTTGGCTCTCTCAAACTGTTCAGTAAAAAACCTGTTTCCTGGATTTTCCGTTGCAAGTCTTCAGTATATTGTAAAACTTTTAACTTCTTCACTGGTTCCAAGAATTGTATCAACCAGTGTTGTTGTTATTTTGTCTGGAAAAAATGATTTATTGATTTATAACATTAAAGAAGACTAATGATTTGTAGATCAAACAGAGGTTTTTTTTTATATATTTTATTGTTTAATGTTGATTATCTGCATAGGGAATCATTTATATTGGGATATTATGACCAAAAGGCTAGTTTAGCTAGTGCATTCTCAGATAGTAGCCTGGGCCTGTATGCATAATTTATAAAGCTACTTAAGTTAAGATTTGTTACGAACAGAGAGATTTTTCTACAGGTCCTACAATAAAAAATTGAAAACAACACGTTTGATAATTTCATGCTTCCGAAGCGCTTTTCTAGATTTACCTTCATCAGGAACGCTCAAAGCCAAACATTTGAAATCCGAGGGATGTATAAGTACGGAAACAGTTGAAGAGCTATATGACAAAAATACATAAAACAAATAGCCAAATTTGTCTAATTAGTACTACGATTGGATTTCTTAACTTAAGTGGTTTATGCATACAGGCCCTTGAGACTCAATACCAATTTGACAAAAAATATGTTTTGGAGCAATGCTCCATTCCAAACCCAATTACATGCAGCTGTGCATATATTTGTGTACATGTACTTTTAGGGCACACATGGGCACTGACTAGGATGTAATTGGGCTTGCATGTATTTTCTTGCAATCTCTTGAAAAATCATACATAAACATTTAGAATTAGTAGAAATTAGTGCTTTTAAATTGTGGTTAAAAGTATCCCCATCTTTCCTTATAATACATCACATTAATGGAACAGTAATTTTGCACACTGCTGAAGCATGTTTTGTTTGAAAACTATATACAGATATATATCTACCTGTTTGTGTACCCATGTTTATTACAGATTCAGTTTCTTCATGTTCCTGACAATTTTTCAAGCCAAAAGGATCCAAAATCTTCATCTGCATATAAATAAAAAAAGCCTAAGTCCAAATTAAAATATATGTGTGGTTCCAGTTACATTCTCAAAAAAAGATAGGGTCGGTGTGTTCACGGAGTCCGATTCTGGTATTATACATGCCCCTACCGCAAGTAAAATAACGGACATGTTATGTTTTTCGTTAATTTTGTTGCATTTTTAGCCGTAGTGGATACTTTTATTGGAAATTCATATGACAGAAGTCTGAATTTAATTATTGAAATTCGCATTCCATAAAATGGGATCATTCAAAATTTATTTTACAGAATAAAAAAAAGTTCATGGGTGGATCTGGTAACTGGAACCACATATGTATTTTTATTTTGCCTGAATTCAATCGGCAATCATGGCAATTGGTCATATTTTAATTGAGGTAGGTTTTAAAAATTAGTATCAAAATGAAGGCAATAGAATGTGATTTAAAAAGAATTTTTTGTTTCTGTTTGTTGTTAACATATAGGTCATTTTTTATGCCAGCACCGAAGATGAGGGGGCATCAAGTGTTACCCTTGTCTGTCTGTATGTGCATCCCAAAAGTGGTTACTTAACTTTAGTTCGCCTCGACCAAATGTTTTGAAACTTATACACAATGCTAATTACCACAAAACACTGTTCAGCTTTGAATTTAAATGGTGTCACTTTTACATGTTATATGGACACATTCTCCATTTATTTATCTTATTGCAAATTAGATCTATGAAAAAATAACAAGGATTTTATAAGATTTTTAAACATGGGATTTTAAACCATATGTCATAAAATTATGAAAAGATAAGTAGGGGTAAGTGGGCAAAATTGTAATGGCACTTCATGGATAAAACAAGAGGATTCTGAATATCTGACAAAAAGTTAAAAAAAAAGAAAAAAAGAGAGACCATCCTTTAGTATTAATGCATTTACGACACTTGGACAAAGAATATAACCATATAATATATCCCCTGTGGTTCAAAGTAGACAAAAAGAACTTCTGACCAATCTCTTAAAACTATCAAGCCTAATGCACATTATATTCCTCTCAATTTTTATTTTAAGATGAAAATAAAATTTGTTTTCAACAGAGTATATACCTACTAATTTATGAGTATTAGACCACAAAGTTTTACTCCCCATCCATGAAAACAGTCACTGTAATAACCTAAAAAGGAATTAAAATTGACACAAATTATATATTTTACTAAAGTGTTAAATTGTCAGCCAAAAAATTAGTTTTCTGACTTCAGATTTCGCATAGCATCAACACCAGTTTAATGTCTATAAAACCAGAAAAAAAAAACATGTTTTGATTTTGTTTTAACATTAATTATTTTTCTCAATCTATGATTTGTCTCCCATTGAATGACACATTTTTGCTGTTTGTTGTACAACCCTCCTCTGAAGGTGAAATCTATCTCGGAATTAACTTTTCAAATGATATATTATTTTATTCATGTTACTGGAAACCAAATATCAAACTGATAAAATAACTTTCTTGGTACTTTGAATGTGGAAAATAAATGTTTTTTTGTCGTATTTTCATAAAATTCTATGAAGGTTTGACAAAGTAATTGATAACTAATAGAAGGTTTGACAAAGTAGTTGATAACTAATATTTTAACCTTAAAATTATCTTAGTGAAAACTTTGAAAAAAGTCCATTTATTGCATCTGTTGCAATGAAGGACTGATTTCCAAGTTAAATAAAAATTGATAATTCCCCTTCTCTGATTTTATATACAGCAACAATAACATACATTATAAAGATATTTAGGCATCACTGGAGAATATTAGTACAAAATAATTCACTAAGTAAACAATGATTTTCACTGTGCAAAACTAGTTAATTGCTTTTCCTGTGTAACTGTTTGCTCTAAATATGCTTGAAATATTTGCCACTGGCATTAAGCAATCAACGGTCAATAGTTAAATTAAGCTTGCAATAATGCTCAATATAAACAACTGGCGTTGAACAAATTAATGCTAATAAATGACCACTGTATTAACAGTGCAGCACTGGGAAAACATGCAATATAAATTGTATTAGATTTCTTAATTATGAAGTACCTTCATCTGTAATTTAAAACAATGACAATTCTATTGATAAAAAATTAATAAAACCACTGTTAGTAAAAATAGCTTTTTATTTTGTCATCCTTTTTCTTACACTGTGTCTGTTTATTTGAAAGCAGAAGTCCCTGTGCACATTGTACCATATCTTGGATATTTGACTATGTGGATTACTATATCTTTCCTCCAGATGTCCTTAGATAGCTGCTTTGATTTATTTTTAGAATCCAACCCAAACCCAACGTCTTCTATCGTGTCCCCCATCATTGTATTGCCGTAAACTTCACAGGAGACATATAAGCGCTAATAGTTTTGAGACGTTCTGGCGCTTTAAACTGGACACGTTTTGGCGAATAACAATTATTGGACACGTTTGGGGGAGTGAAATCAGTCAAATTTGGGCGATTTAAGATTTTAAGGACACGTTTGGGGGAATCGGACATGTTTGGGGGGATGGACACGTTTGGGAGTGTTACATATATATCATGATTTCTTCAACTACTCTTAAATATGTTCACCAAAGTTAAACTGAATCTTGAACAGTTTGTACATACTTACAATTTAACTTTTTTAAATATTACTTTTGCACATATGCAGTTTTAGTTGTTAATTCTACAGGTCTTTGAAGCATTTCATATTAGTGTTGATATATCAAAGGAAAGATGGGCATCTCACATCATCCTTTGGGCTCTCAGTTAATTCTCATCTGAGTTTTTGGACATTTAAGAAATTTTATTGTCTGGATTTATAAACCAAATTATTTTTATTCCCCCAAGTATTCTGTTGTCTGGTCACTATCTTCAGTTCCAACTTGTTTGGCTGCCATGCTGCTATATCTAAAGCTAAATGGAGCCATGCTGTGTTCCTTTGAATTGAAAGGTGTGTCACGGTCTTTGAAGTTTGCTCCTTATGAATGGCTAATAAACTTTTAGGCCACAAACGGTCAAAATTAAAATAATCAACTTTTTCGACAATTACACAGACTATAAGCTTACATGATTTTACTTCTTTCAGTCTTTCTTACATCACAGAGTCAGTCTTACCAAAAACTATTTGAAGCACTAGCTCTTTGGGCTAGTAGAAAAAAAAAATACTAGCCCGAAGTTTTATGTACTAGACCAAAATAAAATAGTGTCAGCAGTGAGGATCACGAAGTGAGCCGAACCAACTAGGGGGGTTTGGGGGCATGCCCCCCTTGAAAATTTGGAATATTAGATGTAAAATCCTGCATTCTGAGGTTACATTATTGTATCTGGAAGTGTATATAACTTGTCAAAAATGTAGAGTTTGTTCTCCATGTAATATGAAAAATTCTACTTTCTTCAATAAAAACCTTCTCAAAACTGTTTACAAGACTCTTTTCTTTGAATTTAAGACATACATGTACAAGTCGTCCTAATAACCAATCGTCTAAAATACACAAGATGTCAAGCGGGCAGTTACGAATTAATGTCTTCCGACGCAAAAATGTTCATTTTTTTTTAATTTTCTGTTATGAATATATTTTATTTAGTCAATGCAACACAAATCAATCAATGATTACCAAAATTTGACATTTTGAAAACGTTTTTGCGCTTTTTATTTTTATTTTGAACAATCGGTTATTAGGAAGACCGTCAAAACTGGTTTACGGTATTTTTGCAAGGAAGAGAGTATCAGTTTATTGTTATTGATGGCGTGACATTCTGCAGTTACAGTAACGATTAAAAAAGTGCACACAGATATGCACTAGACCGTCGGACTATCGGCAGTGTACGTTCACTAGTCCGAGCTTATTTAAACTAGACATGGGCTTCAGGCTACCCCTTATCGACGCAGACTGCAGAGTACTAGAATGTCCTACCACAGAGTAGGTTACCTATCGAAAAGTTCTATACTCTCTAGTCAATTCAATAACATGAAAATAGATTATAACAATACATTTTTATTAAAGTATGTATCATTAGAATATTAATTTGAAAGCTATAAATATTAAACCCAGTTGTGATTAAAAAACCAAGCAATTTTCCCAGGGGAAACTGATTTTATCATTACCTAACAAGGTTTATCCTAACTCATCTTCATCTTCTATGTACAATGGAACCATCTTCAAGCTGTACCACTAAAACTTCTCAGGCCTGCATTTGTAACAAAAACAAAAATTACAAACGAAAGTGAACCAACGCCTGGTGAGTCTGTAGTGAGTTAGAGTCCCTGAAGTGGATACCTCGGGTATGCAGGGTCGTTATGATGAAACACAATAATGTAGAAAGTCTTATAACAACAACACTGGAGGGACTGCTGCAGAAAATTTATTGATCGACATGTTTCGGTGCCTAGGGTACCGTCATCAGGATACAAATAATACATTGAACATACTTAAGTGTACAATCGGGGTTGTCTTGTGACAACGTCATAGTATAGTAGTTGTTATGAAAGGGAAGTAATAGTGAAAGTATAAATAGAAAATGTATATAAATAGATTGTCAACATGAAAATGAAAGTAAATTAAAATTATTTGTATATCAACTCTGTGTTATTATTGTCTCAGCTAAAAATGTTATAAATAGAATGTACAAACACATGTCTGTCCCATAGTTCTTCCGGTAGCTCATCTAAACATATGGTTTCATCACTGCTGCTTGTTGTCAGGTCTATGTAGTCTTCCTGAGTAAGGTCCATGACATAACCGTAATCGTTTGTTATGTATTGCGGAGTGTTATTTAAAGAAGAGTCGGAATCCGACAGGTACAGGTCTTGTTCCAAATCACTTGTTGAGGGTTTTTTCGGTTTTGAGGTGGATGATTGGTGATACTCATACGGTGATTTAGCTGGTATTGTCCTGAATGTAGGTGTTTTCCCGTTCCATTCTTTTTTCTGTACGGCTTCAAATGGTGGTCTCCATTTTTCTATTGCTTTGGCCATTTCACGAGGATTTTGTTGGAAGCTATTATAATCTTCTCTGGCTTTATCTGGGTGTTTTTATTTAAGGTGTGTTACGGCATTTGATTTTCTAGTGAAGGTTGCAACACAATGTTTGCATTCAAACATTGATGCGACTGGTTCGTGGCGTTCCTTATGGTGTCTTCGTAAAGTAGAAATACTGCAGAAAGTTTTCGGGCATTTTTTGCAATTAAATCGTCTTGTGAAAGTTCCTGTAGTTTCTTTTCTTTTGGTAATCTTCGTATTAGCCATATCGTCTGTTAAGGCCCCAGGGTTCGGTGCTTCCAAATTTATGTATAAGAGCTTCTTCCGTTCTTAGTCTGACGTTTATGTTTTGTTCTGTGGTTGTTATGCCTGTTATGGTGACGTCGTGTTTATTGTGACCATTTGAGGTGAAGTGTTTCGAGACTGGTTTTGTATTATTCTCAGTGTTGATGTCCTGTAGATGTCCCCTGAATCTTTCTTTTAGGCTATTTCCCGTTTGACCAATGTATTGTTTTTTGCATTGTTTGCATTCTATTAAATACACCACACTTTCTGTGTTGCATGTAATTTCGTGTTTAATATCTATTTGGTAACTGTTTACGGTACTTTTTGCACTTTCTGCGGTTTTCATTAATCTACAGAGATAGCAATTCTTTCCGCAAGGGTGGCTACCCTTACGGGTTTGTTTGCGTACAATTTCGGTTTTTACTAGTATTTGTTTGATTGATAAGGCTCGTCTATATGAAACAATGAGTTTTTGTTTCGCGAGGGTTTGAGTTTCAGGAGTTCTTTTGAGGATATCTTTCCTCTGGTTGATGGTTCCGTTAAGATTTTTTATTTTTGGATGGTAGTTGATTACTAATGGAATCATATCTGGCTTCACGGGTTGGTCAGTTTCCTTTGGTTTTAACAAATCATTTCGATTTAACGACTTTGCTTTTGAAATTGCAGAATCGACAACCTGTCGGGGATAACCCCGAGTCAGGAGATGTTCTTTCAGACGGTTTGTGTGAAATTCGAAATCATTGATTTCTGTACAAATTCGTCTTATTCTCAGTGCTTGACTGAATGGAATACTTTCTTTTTGGTGTTTCGGGTGGCATGAGTTGTAATGTAAGAAGAGGTGCGCATCTGTTGGTTTTGTGTATAGAGTTGTGTGGAGTTTTCCTTGGTTATTAACTACCGTTGTATCTAGGAAATCGACCTTTTCTGTACTTATGTGGCTTGTGAATTTTATACTAGGATGGAATTGGTTGAGGGCACTGATGAAGGAATCTAGATCCTTGCGTGTATGTGGCCATATGAAAAATATGTCGTCTATATATCTCCACCAGTCAATTCAATAACATGAAAATAGATTATAACAATACATTTTTATTAAAGTATGTATCATTAGAATATTAATTTGAAAGCTATAAATATTAAACCCAGTTGTGATTAAAAGACCAAGCAATTTTCCCAGGGGAAACTGATTTTATCATTACCTAACAAGGTTTATCCTAACTCATCTTCATCTTCTATGTACAATGGAACCATCTTCAAGCTGTACCACTAAAACTTCTCAGGCCTGCATTTGTAACAAAAACAAAAATTATAAATGAGTGATGTGTTGGATAATTTCTGGCACAAATAATTTACCATTAATTCAGAAACACTATTGCGAGGTTTTATTAATCTGAATAATGCGACAGGTTGAGTATTGCAATGATAAGAAACTCCAATTCCGATATCTGTATGAAGAATTTCCTGAAATTCAATAAGATAATTTTACTGTTAGTCCATTATGTAAAAATCGCAATAATAAATGCACACAATAAATTCTGAATTTACAGTAGTTTGCTTTGATAAGAGAAACACAAAAGTATGAATTTGTGATGTGTATAGATTGTAGGATATCTTTATATATATAACTGCTGGTATTAATTTGGGAAATAATGATTATATTATTAAAAAGTCTTCAATACTGAAGTCAAATAAAGATATACCAGCAGTTATATGATGTATACATTTTGAACAAAAATGATTAAAATTCAACTGAATCTCAAACAATCTAAATCAAGTCATATTTCCAAATTACTTTTAAAAAAAATCGACTAAATATGTAGATATCCAAATTGACAATCGGAAACTTTACTTTCGTTCAGGAGAGACTATTAGAGAAAGGGTTTCCAAATTGTCAATGTTAAGAGACTATTTGCTGTTATAATTAATTCAGAAATTAATGTGATGCATGTTTCAATTCAAATCCTAAATTGGAGTACAAGTATACTTTTTTCATTAGAGTATAAATTTGAAAAAAAAATTTTGGACTAATTTGTAATAAATTTTCAAGCTGTTTCTCCAGGGAAAACTGATTTTATTACCTTACAACTATTAACAGTTTAAGTACAATTGTAACGACAAAATACGTACATCATCATCTAGGCATCAACAATTATATCATCTCCATGTCTAGGACTTCTTTTTTCTTCTCTCTGGGCTGCCGTCTATCTGTAATACATATTCAAATTATTTTAATATCTATCAGACAACTATTAATAAATAAAAAAAAAATATACTTACTTACGGATGCATATGTTACCTGTCCTGACGTAAATATCCTGGGGCTGGTATCTGAAACAAAAACAAAATAAGTTCAAAAATATTGAACCAAATATAAAACTTAAAAAATTTGCTACTTTAATTTTTTTTTCTTTCAAAATATCTATAAAGAAAAACTGGCATTAATGGCAGCCATCATCATTGGTCAATTGCTCTTTTTGACTGTATATCATTAACTTATTTTCATTTTAAATCTATATTTCAATCAGTAATGAAGACGGTTTAATGATATAATCATTATTTCCCAAATTAATGTGCGTGTCAAATTATCAGAAGTTGGTGGCTAACCAAAACAATCTGATGTATACATTTTGAACAAAAATGATTAAAATTCAACTGAATCTCAAACAATCTAAATCAAGTCATATTTTCCAAATTACTTTTTAAAAAAATCGACTAAATATGTAGATATCCAAATTGACAATCGGAAACTTTACTTTCGTTCAGGAGAGACTATTAGAGAAAGGGTTTCCAAATTGTCAATGTTAAGAGACTATTTGCTGTTATAATTAATTCAGAAATTAATGTGATGCATGTTTCAATTCAAATCCTAAATTGGAGTACAAGTATACTTTTTTCATTAGAGTATAAATTTGAAAAACAAATTTGGACTAATTTGTAATAAATTTTCAAGCTGTTTCTCCAGGGAAAACTGATTTTATTACCTTACAACTATTAACAGTTTAAGTACAATTGTAGCGACAAAATACGTACATCATCATCTAGGCATCAACAATTATATCATCTCCATGTCTAGGACTTCTTTTTTCTTCTCTCTGGGCTGCCGTCTATCTGTAATACATATTCAAATTATTTTAATATCTATCAGACAACTATTAATAAATAAAAAAAAAATATACTTACTTTCGGATGCATATGTTACCTGTCCTGACGTAAATATCCTGGGGCTGGTATCTGAAACAAAAACAAAATAAGTTCAAAAATATTGAACCAAATATAAAACTTAAAAAATTTGCTACTTTAATTTTTTTTTCTTTCAAAATATCTATAAAGAAAAACTGGCATTAATGGCAGCCATCATCATTGGTCAATTGCTCTTTTTGACTGTATATCATTAACTTATTTTCATTTCAAATCTATATTTCAATCAGTAATGAAGACGGTTTAATGATATAATCATTATTTCCCAAATTAATGTGCGTGTCAAATTATCAGAAGTTGGTGGCTAACCAAAACAATCTGATGTATACATTTTGAACAAAAATGATTAAAATTCAACTGAATCTCAAACAATCTAAATCAAGTCATATTTTCCAAATTACTTTTAAAAAAAATCGACTAAATATGTAGATATCCAAATTGACAATCGGAAACTTTACTTTCGTTCAGGAGAGACTATTAGAGAAAGGGTTTCCAAATTGTCAATGTTAAGAGACTATTTGCTGTTATAATTAATTCAGAAATTAATGTGATGCATGTTTCAATTCAAATCCTAAATTGGAGTACAAGTATACTTTTTTCATTAGAGTATAAATTTGAAAAAGAAATTTTGAACTAATTTGTAATAAATTTTCAAGCTGTTTCTCCAGGGAAAACTGATTTTATTACCTTACAACTATTAACAGTTTAAGTACAATTGTAACGACAAAATACGTACATCATCATCTAGGCATCAACAATTATATCATCTCCATGTCTAGGACTTCTTTTTTCTTCTCTCTGGGCTGCCGTCTATCTGTAATACATATTCAAATTATTTTAATATCTATCAGACAACTATTAATAAATAAAAAAAAAATATACTTACTTTCGGATGCATATGTTACCTGTCCTGACGTAAATATCCTGGGGCTGGTATCTGAAACAAAAACAAAATAAGTTCAAAAATATTGAACCAAATATAAAACTTAAAAAATTTGCTACTTTAATTTTTTTTTCTTTCAAAATATCTATAAAGAAAAACTGGCATTAATGGCAGCCATCATCATTGGTCAATTGCTCTTTTTGACTGTATATCATTAACTTATTTTCATTTTAAATCTATATTTCAATCAGTAATGAAGACGGTTTAATGATATAATCATTATTTCCCAAATTAATGTGCGTGTCAAATTATCAGAAGTTGGTGGCTAACCAAAACAATCTGATGTATACATTTTGAACAAAAATGATTAAAATTCAACTGAATCTCAAACAATCTAAATCAAGTCATATTTTCCAAATTACTTTTTAAAAAAATCGACTAAATATGTAGATATCCAAATTGACAATCGGAAACTTTACTTTCGTTCAGGAGAGACTATTAGAGAAAGGGTTTCCAAATTGTCAATGTTAAGAGACTATTTGCTGTTATAATTAACTCAGAAATTAATGTGATGCATGTTTCAATTCAAATCCTAAATTGGAGTACAAGTATACTTTTTTCATTAGAGTATAAATTTGAAAAAGAAATTTTGGACTAATTTGTAATAAATTTTCAAGCTGTTTCTCCAGGGAAAACTGATTTTATTACCTTACAACTATTAACAGTTTAAGTACAATTGTAACGACAAAATACGTACATCATCATCTAGGCATCAACAATTATATCATCTCCATGTCTAGGACTTCTTTTTTCTTCTCTCTGGGCTGCCGTCTATCTGTAATACATATTCAAATTATTTTAATATCTATCAGACAACTATTAATAAATAAAAAAAAAATATACTTACTTTCGGATGCATATGTTACCTGTCCTGACGTAAATATCCTGGGGCTGGTATCTGAAACAAAAACAAAATAAGTTCAAAAATATTGAACCAAATATAAAACTTAAAAAATTTGCTACTTTAATTTTTTTTTCTTTCAAAATATCTATAAAGAAAAACTGGCATTAATGGCAGCCATCATCATTGGTCAATTGCTCTTTTTGACTGTATATCATTAACTTATTTTCATTTTAAATCTATATTTCAATCAGTAATGAAGACGGTTTAATGATATAATCATTATTTCCCAAATTAATGTGCTTGTCAAATTATCAGAAGTTGGTGGCTAACCAAAACAATCTGATGTATACATTTTGAACAAAAATGATTAAAATTCAACTGAATCTCAAACAATCTAAATCAAGTCATATTTTCCAAATTACTTTTAAAAAAAATCGACTAAATATGTAGATATCCAAATTGACAATCGGAAACTTTACTTTCGTTCAGGAGAGACTATTAGAGAAAGGGTTTCCAAATTGTCAATGTTAAGAGACTATTTGCTGTTATAATTAATTCAGAAATTAATGTGATGCATGTTTCAATTCAAATCCTAAATTGGAGTACAAGTATACTTTTTTCATTAGAGTATAAATTTGAAAAAGAAATTTTGGACTAATTTGTAATAAATTTTCAAGCTGTTTCTCCAGGGAAAACTGATTTTATTACCTTACAACTATTAACAGTTTAAGTACAATTGTAACGACAAAATACGTACATCATCATCTAGGCATCAACAATTATATCATCTCCATGTCTAGGACTTCTTTTTTCTTCTCTCTGGGCTGCCGTCTATCTGTAATACATATTCAAATTATTTTAATATCTATCAGACAACTATTAATAAATAAAAAAAAAATATACTTACTTTCGGATGCATATGTTACCTGTCCTGACGTAAATATCCTGGGGCTGGTATCTGAAACAAAAACAAAATAAGTTCAAAAATATTGAACCAAATATAAAACTTAAAAAATTTGCTACTTTAATTTTTTTTTCTTTCAAAATATCTATAAAGAAAAACTGGCATTAATGGCAGCCATCATCATTGGTCAATTGCTCTTTTTGACTGTATATCATTAACTTATTTTCATTTTAAATCTATATTTCAATCAGTAATGAAGACGGTTTAATGATATAATCATTATTTCCCAAATTAATGTGCTTGTCAAATTATCAGAAGTTGGTGGCTAACCAAAACAATCTGATGTATACATTTTGAACAAAAATGATTAAAATTCAACTGAATCTCAAACAATCTAAATCAAGTCATATTTTCCAAATTACTTTTAAAAAAAATCGACTAAATATGTAGATATCCAAATTGACAATCGGAAACTTTACTTTCGTTCAGGAGAGACTATTAGAGAAAGGGTTTCCAAATTGTCAATGTTAAGAGACTATTTGCTGTTATAATTAATTCAGAAATTAATGTGATGCATGTTTCAATTCAAATCCTAAATTGGAGTACAAGTATACTTTTTTCATTAGAGTATAAATTTGAAAAAGAAATTTTGGACTAATTTTGTCATAAATTTTCAAGCTGTTTCTCCAGGGAAAACTGATTTTATTACCTTACAACTATTAACAGTTTAAGTACAATTGTAACGACAAAATACGTACATCATCATCTAGGCATCAACAATTATATCATCTCCATGTCTAGGACTTCTTTTTTCTTCTCTCTGGGCTGCCGTCTATCTGTAATACATATTCAAATTATTTTAATATCTATCAGAAAACTATTAATAAATAAAAAAAAAAATATACTTACTTTCGGATGCATATGTTACCTGTCCTGACGTAAATATCCTGGGGCTGGTATCTGAAACAAAAACAAAATAAGTTCAAAAATATTGAACCAAATATAAAACTTAAAAAATTTGCTACTTTAATTTTTTTTTCTTTCAAAATATCTATAAAGAAAAACTGGCATTAATGGCAGCCATCATCATTGGTCAATTGCTCTTTTTGACTGTATATCATTAACTTATTTTCATTTTAAATCTATATTTCAATCAGTAATGAAGACGGTTTAATGATATAATCATTATTTCCCAAATTAATGTGCGTGTCAAATTATCAGAAGTTGGTGGCTAACCAAAACAATCTGATGTATACATTTTGAACAAAAATGATTAAAATTCAACTGAATCTCAAACAATCTAAATCAATGCATATTTTCCAAATTACTTTTAAAAAAAATCGACTAAATATGTAGATATCCAAATTGACAATCGGAAACTTTACTTTCGTTCAGGAGAGACTATTAGAGAAAGGGTTTCCAAATTGTCAATG